TTTTTTATAATTCCTTTAGTTAATTTTGAGTAAAAAACAGGTGACTTAATTTTTTTTTCTTGTTTATTTTCCTTTTGTTTGTCGATTTTCATAATTTTTTGTGTTTGTTTTGCTTTCTATTTTTATTTGCCATTTTTATTACTATCTTCTATGTAGTATGTTTGCTACTGTTTTAAATTTAATTTTTTTTCGTTTTTCTTGTTATCTGTAATATTTTTGATTCTTTATGTTTTCAACTTTGTTTTTTAGCTTTTTCAGCTCCCTTTCTTCTGTCTTGCTCTCGGTTCCGCTGATTATTTACGATTTTTGGTTTACTTGTCTCGATTCTTTTTCGTTTTTTGGTGGTATCATTTTTAAGTAAATTTTTTTACTTTATTTTTCACATTTCGTTCTCCGTTTCGGTGTTTTGATTTATGTTTTCCCATTGTTTCAGTTTTTTGGTTTCGCAGTGCCTGAAAAATTTGATAAAATCTTGCCGCACCATAAATCCCGCGATTTGTTCTTAACCCCCATATTATGACCACAATAACTCACATTTATTAAACGTTTTCACATTCCGTTACGCTCACGCGCATACCTCGCTATCAGCATGAACTAGCTTTAACACATTCAATTGTCAACGGCAATCATCAAGGGGTGCCATGATTTAAGCATCACTCTTGTTTTTTTCAGTCTGAATTTCAGTCGTGGCCATAAAATCGCCCAAGACGACTGAATTAATGTAAATCCTCGTCGACTAATAAAGTGACCGATAAATGTCCGTCATATCACGTCGATAAATCACTTTGATGGCTTCCACAAACTGTTAAAATTCGTCGAAGAGAGTAAAATAGACACACCAGATGGCGTTTTGGTGCGAGTCGCGGCCTCCTTCGATACCTCTCAGCTTAGTCGTTTCCAGCTTAAGCTTAGTGCGCGCGCGTGTTGCGGAAACTCGAGCGCTGGTCGAAGCGACGAACCCAAAAAATGATTTTGTGAGTGGTGTCGTCTTCCTCCACGATGCAAACCTCCGAGTCGAACTTGTTGCCCCCCTGCGAGTCCCCCAAGCCCGACGTGGTGCCCTTCAACCTCGCCATGTTGCAGGAGAACATCCTGCAGCGGTCCATCCAGAACGTGGCTCTCTCCCTGCAAAACGCCATGATGAACTCGCTGCAGCAGGCGGCGCTCTTGCCCGCCAACTCGGCCGCCGCCGCCGCCCTCAACCTCCAAGCCCTCGAGTCGTATCTCACTCTCCAGCAGCTCGCCGCCCCCAACAACCGCATCGATATACTCAAAATTGCGACGAGTACGGCGAAAATCAACGAGGAGCCTGATACGAGTCTCACGGAGGATGTGGACCTCGCCGAGGAGGTGGAGGAGGATTTGGCGCTCTTGGATAATGAGTTTCCGGTGGCGAGTTCGCCGGTTGATACGAGTTATCCAAGTTTGATCATGAATTCGCCGTATCAGAGTGGGGGGGGACAAGCCACGGCGACGACGTCCACCACCACGACGAAGAAGCCTTCCACCAGGCCCAAGAAACAATTCATTTGCAAGTTTTGCAATAGACAATTTACCAAGAGTTATAATTTGTTGATCCACGAGAGGACTCACACGGACGAGAGGCCATACTCTTGTGACATCTGCGGGAAGGCCTTCCGGAGGCAGGACCATCTCAGGGATCATAGGTAACACTATGAAATTTTTTATTAAGAAAATTAAAAAAATAAAGTACGGTCCTGTATAATTAATTAGTAAAACACTCTGTTGAAAGTAAGTTGGTAACATTGAAAAAATTAAAAATATACAAAATGAGACTTGTCAAAAATCTATTAGCAATAATGACTATAAGTTTGGTAGCCACTGTTACCGTAAGATAAGTTGAGTACGGTCCTGTAATAAAAAAATTACTTTCTATTATTAATAATACATCGTTGATAGAAAAAAATTTGGCAACATGACAACCGAAACTTAACAACAACATATAAAACAATCGGTATAATTAAAAATGACCTTTGACGTTAAAAATAAGTTGGTAACATTGAAGAATATAAAAAGATAGGTAAAGTATTGGCAACACTGAGTTATTGGTAAAATGAATGACAATTGATAGTTGCCTTTGACGTTGAAAGTAAGTTGGCAACATTAAAAAAATTAAAAATACTTAAAATAAGACTTGTAAAAAATCTATTGGCAACACTGAGAATGACAACGACTATAAATTTGGTAGCCAGTGTTACCAAATTAAGATTTTACACAAGATAAGTTGAGTACGGTCCTGTAACAAAAAAAATTTCCTATATTATTAATAGTATAGCGTTTGTAGAAAAAAAAAGACAACATTACAGCTGAAATTAAGAAAGAATAAAACACTCTGTATAATTGAAAATGGCTTGTGACGTTGAAAATAAGTTGGTAATAATGAAGAATTTAAAAAGATTAATCCCGCGTGATTTTGACAAAAAAATCTATTGGCAACACTGAGTTATTGATTATAAAATTGTGTCATTTATATTTGACAGCCAGTGTTACCAAATTAAGATTTTATCATGGCCCACTTGACACGAAAAACAGTCATATTATTCAAAGATAAGTTGAGTACGGTCCTGTAATAAAAAAATACTTTTTTATTATTAAAAATACAGAGTTTGTAGAAAAAAATTTGTCAATATTGCTACTGAAATTGAAAAAAAATGTTTTCATAAGTAGAAAACAATTAAAAAGATAAAAAAGTATTTTTGTTTATAAGAATTACTCTAAAAAAATATGTTTCGTTTAGTGTATAATTGAAAATGGCCTGTAATTAAAAATAAGTTGGTAACAATGAAGAATTTAAAATAGTTTAAACCACGTGATTTTGATAAAAAAATCTGTTGGCAACACTGAGTTATTGACTATAAAATTGTGTCATTTATATTTGACGGCCAGTGTTACCAAATTAAGGTTTTATCATGGCCCACTTGACACAGTCATATTATTCAAAGATAAGTTGAGTACGGTCCTGTAATAAAAAAAATACTTTCCTACATATTATTAAAAATATAGAGTTTGTAGAAAAAATTTTGCCAACATTGCAACTGAAATTGAAAAAAAAAGGTTTTCTAGTGAAAAACAAATAAACACAACACTGAGTTATTGACTAAAAAATTGTTTCATTTATATTTGACAGGCAGTGTTGCCAAATTAATATTTCATCATGGCCTAATTGACACAAAAATTATATGTATGAGTATTATTTAAAGATTTGTTAAATACGGTCCTATAATAATTAAAAATATACATTCATTATAGCAGTAGACAATTCTTTGCACTTTCAGTAATAAAATAGAATCACCCTGTATATAAAATTTTAAATGTCAGTTAGTAAAATGAACATTTTACAGATTATTCTGTCATTTGAGTCGACCCACGTAATAATTTTTCTAGAAAAAATTAAAAACCTGTCATTTGGGTCTAACTAGGAGAAATTCAAGAATTTAATTGTTCCTCCGGGCCTGAAACAAGTAATCTAAATTTTTTTCATGAGGGCCTGAAGCTGCTATGTCTAATTTAAATCTGAAAGTCATTAACCCTGTAATGACAGTTTGCTGAAAATGAGTGAAAAATTTCAGTGGTTTCAGGAAATGGCTGATTTAAACACACACACGCACACTAGTCGCTCATAAATTCAGCGTGTGGGCTGTTGAAATAACTTATTCAAAGGCTGAGCGAATCGTTGAAATATTTATCGCTGGAAAAAGCCAAAACACACAAGCATCGATAAATGTTAAATTTGAAAATATTTCTTCAACAGGTTGGACGATAAGCTCACTTGTAGATGCACTTTAATAGTCAGTTAAATGTGAAGCTTATAGCGAGCCGTCGGCAATCGCATGTAAAACGAGACTCGATAAAACTATTATCGGGAGGATCAGGTGCGAGAATTGCCGTGTTTGCCTGGGGTTTAGGGCCCTTGTTCGAATATTGGGGCTGTTTATTTCATTTCATAAACGAAACTTTCGGAATATAAAAATTGTTCCCGTTTGTTTCTTACAATACAAATAAAATTTAACCAAAATAAAATTTGTCTTTTATTGAGCTTTAACTACTAATTAAAAAAAAATTAACCCAATAACGTTTTACGCAATTTTTTGAATCTTTTGATAACACAATTAACAACAACTAAAATAGAAATACAAAAATAGCATTAAAAATACACTACTGAAAAAAATTAAGAAAACAAA